TGGGCCCCATGGGGTTGGGGTTTTGAGGTCTGTTCCCATCTTCACATGGCTATTCCTGTGGCCGAGGCGTGACTGGCTTGTGTCCATTTCCTTCCACCGGCTCCTGACTGTCCTCTTGTGGTGGCTGCAGTTTTTATCCAATATAATTTTTTTTTTCCTCCTCTTTAGCCCCAATTGTTCTTGTTCAGAAACCGAAACCTCAGCTGGGCCACGCGGTCCTGCAGGATTTCCTCTCTGAGGCTGCAGGGCGAGTGGAGCACAGTGGTGTGGGTGGGGGCTCGGCGGTAGCCCTTCTCCTGCAGCTGTCACGACTCCCAGCCAGGGGCAGCGGGTCTGTGCACCCCCCACAGGGGAGCTCGGGGGGCTTCAGCTCTGAGCTGAGGGGCTGGCCTGGGCTGCGTGGAGTGTCTGCCTGCCAGGCCTTTCTGACCAGAGTGCAAGTTTCATATAGTGCTTAGCCCACCATGGAGAAACTGAGGCCCAGGAGGTCCAGGGCTTGTCCAAGTCACATGCAGGCCTGAATCTGGGCCTCAGGCTCCCAGCGCAGGACTCATTTCTTTAGGCCAGTGAAGAAGTGGGTGCCCGGCAAGGGGAGGCCTGTGTGCCTATCCCGGTTCTCCTGGATGCTCTGTGTAATCAGGGAGGGCTTGCTGGAGGTGGTGGGAGAGAGTAATGTTCCTGAAGGATGGAGATTTGGGCAGGGGACAAGCGTGTGGAAGGTAGTGGTTGGGTTGGAACCTGGCCAGAGTGCTGGGTGCCAGTGTCCCAGGGGGAGAGTGCGGCCCCTGGCATGCAGCTTGAGGCTCCTACACTGCAACACAGAGCAAGCTTGGATTATTGCTGCGATCTCTTGACTTACTGAGCTCACCAGTCATGGTGCCGAGCATCATGCTGGGCACCGCACTGGGCGCTGGGCATATAGCAGTGAGTTGTGGGTGTCCTTCCATTGAAAGTGAGCATCATATAACCAAGCAGGCCCCCTGATGTGACTTAGGGGCGGTGCAGAGCCCCTTGGGAGCCCAGAGGAGGCACCCGCCCCAGCCTTGGGCAGCCGGCAAGGTTCGGGTGGGTGGGAGGTGGCCAGGCTGATGCCTAAAGAATGGGGAGGTATCAGGCAGACCACTTGCCTAGCCAGAGGGGACGGCGTGTGCAGAGGCTGAGGATGTCGGTGGATGTGGCACACTGCAGGGCACGGTGCCCTCCTGGGCCTCAGAGGGTGACCCTCCGCAGGTCCTTGGGACTGTTCAGTAAACACTGGCCCCTTTGTAAGATCCCCTAGCCTGTTCACCTGAGAGCCTGGGTGTCCTCAGACTACAGCGTCCTGTCCCTGGAGGCCTGGGGAGAGAGGCTGGTGCCCCATTTCATCCCGGTGGAGCTGCCTCCCTTGGCTCCCGCCAGTGACTGGTTCTTGTTGTGAGCAGCTGTCAGGAGTGTTTCTGTGTATGGGGCTCACAGGGCACCCGCCCATCTCCACACACTGTCCCACCTGCAGTGCTGTGGTCCTGTCCCCACCCCTGCAGACTGGGGTACAGAGAGGTGGGGCGCTTGGGGAGGCCTCAGCCAGCACAGGTCTGATGGACGAGTCTGGTGCTTTGGGCACATCAAGGAGGCAGTGTGTCCTCGAGGCCTGATTTACGGGCCGTTAGATAAATACCTGATCCTGCCAGGACCCAGCTCCCCTTTGCCCCCTCCTGGGTTTCTGTCACGAACGTGCAGTAAAGCTCTCGTGCCCGACACAAGGACATGAAACTGGCCTTGCTGGCTGTGCTGGGTGGTTTTGTGCGGCACTGAGAGCCAAGTGGGCTCTTTCCTCAGGCATGCGACTCCCCAGCAAAGTGGTGGCTAGTCACGTTTCCTGGTGCCTGAGGGGCACAGTCCACAGCCATCCTCAAGAGGAGTGACTCGTGTCCCCACTGTGGCCTCAGTGCTGTCCTTGCAGGGAGCTCCATGGTCTCTCAGGACGAGTGGCCCAGAGGGGTCAGGAGGCACATTCCCCCCCTGCCCCCACACCTGTCTTGCAGCCTGTAGCTGGGTACTAGGCACTGCCCGCAGTCCCCCAGAAATGGTCCTGAGACACACAGCTCCTCTGCTCTTTGCTGTTCTGAGCAAACCACTGCAAGGGGGACTCCTGGCAATGGTGGCGCTGTTGGGCCCAGGCGTCGTGGCAGTGTGGTAGCCAAGGGAAGTGGGGACCAGGCATGTCAGCCTGAAGTTGTATATAGGATGTGAGCTGTAGGCTCCCAGGGCCAGCCCTGGGTGAGCAACTGTGCTGACTGGCCTTGATGCCACATGATCCCCCTCTGTGAGGCTTGTAGCACCCGTTGCAGGTGAGGAAACTGAGGCTGGTACGCAGGCAGCATTGCCCAGTGAGTGGCAGGAGGGGCAGCTGGGGCTGGCACTGGGCTGGCAGACCCAGGAGGTTCTGGCTCAGGGCTGACGGGACCCCACCTCCTTGGGCAAGGGATGCCGCAGACGATAGCATCTGTTGGGCAATGGCAGGGCCTGTGAGTACAGGCAGCCACCAGGGACTCGTTCCACAGCATTCCGGGGGAGGTGGGGGGCCGAGGCGCAGGTGGGAAATGCCACTTGGCCAGCCCTCCACCAGGCTGAGCCCGGGCCTGTCTGCTGGAGCGTGTGCTGCAGGGCTTGGGGGCCTCTTGGTCTGATAGGGTGGTAGGCGCCAGGCTTGGGGGTTCTCACTGTGAGGGGGGGAGACCTGGCCCCCACCTGGGGTGATACTGGCCCAGGGTAGAAAGGGGACCCCGCCTCCCTGTTTCCTTCTCCAGGAAGGCGTCTCCCTGTTTCCTGCCTCCCTCTCTTTGCTTCCTGTGCCCTGTCTCTGGACTCTGAGGGCTGGGGTGTACAAATGGCAGTGTCTGGTGTGTGTGTGTGCACGTGTGTGTGCATGCACAGGCGCATGCGGTCCCACACATTATTTCTGTAGAGGAAGAGCCCTGGCTGGGTTCAGGTGCCTCCCTGTCACCATTGGGCAGGTGACTGCTCCTCTGGGCCTCAATGTCCTCTTGTGTACAGTGAGGCATCGACAAGGTGCCCCCACCACGGCTTATTGGGAGGAGAGTGGCAGATGGCAGCACACTGCCTGGCTGATAGGGTTGGATACCACAGCACATGTGTGTGTGCGCACGTGTGTGTGTGTGTGTGTGTGCGCGCGCGCATGCTTGTCACGTGATGATAACTCTTACGTGCAGACTCCTTGTCCCGGATTGAGACCCTTAAATAAAGGGAAGGACATGTCCTCTGAGCTCAAGAGACCCTAAGCAAAGCCTTTTGGTGAAATTCAGTCCTGCCTCTCCGGGAGTCACATATAGGACAGAGGGAGGTCCCAGCTGCCTGGCAGTGCGCACAGCAGAGGAGGCAGCAGGCCCAGTGTGCCCGCCAACCCCGACACCCTTTCTGGCCAAGGGACTGCTGCTGGCCCTCGTATCAGTGGGTCTTTTGATAGTTGGGGACTCTGGTTGTGTTGGGGGTTGAGTCCCCCTCTCAGGCTGTGTTTAGCAGCTGGGAGAGGGTCTTCCTGGGGATCCCCAGCCTCCTCTGCCTGCCGTGCTTAGAGCCCCGTCTTCCCAGACACCTCCTGCCCTAGGCTTCCCAGTGCCAGCTGGAACGTCCGTCAAACGGGACTCCACCTACAAGGTGACTGAGCCGGCAGCTCTCTCCTGCCCCCTCTGCTGCCCGTAAATAAAACTGTAGCATTTATAATGACGCTGCTCAGAGCTGACTGGTGCAACTTCTAAGTGCTTCACAAAGTCTTGGCTGTTAATTCTTGGCTGCCCCGTGGAGACAGGTGCGAGGAACCCCCCACCCACCGGTGCTTCGGGCGCTGCCTCCACACTCACGGCCACCTTTGGTGAGCTCGGGCTCCCTGCGCCCTGGGGCTGCCTGGAGAGGGAGGATGTCCTGTGACCAGGCTCCATGGTGGGGAGCATGGGAACCCGAGGTGCAGACAAAGCTGAGCATCTCCAGGCACCTCCTCGTGGGTCCAGCCTGAAGATCGACACCCTCACTCATTGTAGGGCTGAGGGTGCTGGGGAACAGTGAGGCCAGGGACTTGCCAGGGCCACACAGCTCTTAGGGGCAGAGCAGGGTCTGGGAACGGGACTGTCTGACTCAGAGCCCACTGCTTTAAGAAGCTGCCACTGTCCTGAGAGCTCAGCCGTTCTCTTTGGCTATCTGAGCCTCAGTTTCTCCACCTGGTAAAATGAAGTGATTGAGTGAAGTCACATACTTTTCAGCTGTGTCCTGCCTCTGAGGGTTTAGGGTTCCGCCCAGGGGACAGACCTTGAGGACCCATCCTTAGGGTCCCAGGGACACAGGCCTGCCTGGTTGCCAGGTCCCTATCACCTTGTGTGGCTGCCTCCTGCCTGATCAGCCTTGTTGGCTGGCTCCTAACCCTGTTTGTTGTGACAGAGAGGGTGACCCAGCACCCCCCTTCCTGTGCAGAGGGTGGGGAAGCCTGGCTGGGGAGGGGCTAGAGCTTCTGCAGCCCTGCTGGCTCCTTGCCATCTGCCTGCCAGCTTGAGCTCCCCCCAGCCCTCACCCCCACCTGCTGTCAGATTTTCCAGAAGAGCCAGGCTTGCAGAAACTTGGACACGAGGCTTCCTGCCTGGCTCCTTGGCCCAGCTGCCGCCTTGTGAAGGTCCTTGAGTCTCACCATGTGGACAGAAAGCCCTCACTCGAGTCAGCCCTTCCTTTGGGTCTGGGAGAGCGCAGCCCTTGGCATGGGGGCAGCTCTCAATAGCCACATGTCTGTGTAGGGAGGGACACAGGGCCTGCCCCCAGGGAGCCCAGTGGCCCAAAGAGGGGCTCTCGTGGGTCCCAGCTTCTCTGCATAGCTATTGGTGGGGGCCTGGCAAGAAGCACTTCTCCCTGGGTGTGGAGAGGTGTTAACGGGGACTGTAACAGCTCTGTGGGCAGTGCGACAGGGAACCTAGCAGGTCTGAGGGAATCCCCACGACAAGTAGGGAGCCCTCACACCTCACGCCTGGAGGAGCAGGGGAACGTGGGCTTGTAGAACCCCAAAAGAGGGCTGCTCACCAGGAACTATGGCCTTCGGAAAAAGTGGCTGCTGAGTCTGGTGGGGCACCCCCCCCTTTCCCCCAGCCTCCTCCCTGCTGCTGGTTCCTTGTGTTGGCCAAACCCATGCAGAAGCCAAGGGGGAGAGGGTGTGGGTGAGGCTGTGCCAAGCTTGTGCCCTTGGAGCCAGCGCACGGGGGTGGGTCTAGAGGTGCAGAGGTGGTCCTGTGCCAGCCAGCGTCGGTGAGAACGGAAGGTGTCTGCCCCATGGAGGCATCCAGGGAGGGGGCAGGGATCAGCCCATCTGAGGCCCACAGGGCAGTCGTGCTCGGGAAGGCCTGGGAGGCTCAGCGCTGGCTCTGGGATGGAAACCTGGGATGGGCCAGGAATAGGGAGAGGGACACCCAGGTGGGGTCTGGCTGGTGGAGGGAGAGAGGCAGTGGCATCTGGTCTGGTGGGTGTTCTTGGGAGGCCCCAGGCCCCTTTGCTGAGCCCCCACTGCCAGGACCGGTGGGAGGCGGGGCAGGGGGCCAGAGTGCCCGCAGCTGCCGTGCCCGTCCCCTCTGCCAGCTCCTTCCTTCTCCTCCCTGCCTCCATTTAAGGGTCTTGGTGTCTCCACCAGAGAAGAGGGAGATGGACATGGGAGTCAGCCTGGGAGGCTGCGAGAGCCCCAGGAGCCCCTCTAGGTGGGGCTGGCGGCCTGGCTGTGGCTCATCGCTTTGAGCCTGCCCTGCTGGGTGACTTCAGGGAGCTCCTGGCCCCCTCTTGGGAAAGGGCCGCTTGAGCTGTATGGGTTCTGAAGTCAAAAGTCTTTAAGCACCCAGTGTGGGGTACCCTGGCCTCCTTGACTTTTCTGCCACATGTTTTTTTGGGATAAAATTGGAGTGAACCCCTACTTCTCTGCCTCCTCCCATTGGTTTCTTTTCCTGGGCTCCCAGAAACCAGGCCACCTCCTGACTCCCCCGTGTCTTCAGTCCTCCATACATCGCTGCTCTGGCTCTGGACCTTGTACAGGCCACCTCCTCTGCCTGAACTGGAGCCCCTGTTTTTCTGCTCCTTCAGTTTCATTGCCCCTTCTTCTGGGAAGCCTTCCTGGCTTTGCCTGGGTCCATGGCCCATCAAAGCCCTTCTGTCTCCATGTCGGGATCTCTGCCGAACCGTCAGCTCCATGAGAGCCGGGCCTCCTCTGCCCTGCTGTGCTGGCCCGGATGGGTCCTGGTGTGAACATTTGCCGAATGAATTAGTGAGGGGGGCGTGCCCTGTGTCTCAGCCGTGCAGGAGGAGCGGCAGCGGGGCAAGGACCGGAACGAGAACGAGGTGGAGTCCACGAGCAGCGCCAATGAGGACATGCCGGTGGAGAAGATCCTGGAGGCCGAGCTGGCTGTCGAGCCCAAGACTGAGACGTACGTGGAGGCCAACATGGGGCTGAACCCCAACTCGGTGAGTGCTGCCTGCCCACGTGGCCTCCCACTGAGTTGGCAAGGACCCGAGCTGCTTTGGGCACTGTGGGCCCGGTGAGTGCCCCTGGGTGGAGGACCCCATCTGCCAGGGCCTCGCTGAAGCGGCGTGCAGCTGTGCCTGGGGGTGCTGACTCTCTGATAACTTGAATTAGAGCCAGGACTTTGCACTTAACCTTCATACTTCACGTTGTCTCCGGCCCACAGTCCAGTCAGTTGTTGGGGATCCTGTATCTGCTCCAGGTTTGCATCGTGTCTAGACTTCTTCTGTGTCTCCCATGTGGGTTCAGGGCTGGGAAAAGAGCTCTGTGGCTGACCCTGAGGTCGTCCATGTCTACCCTAAGGTTATCCTGGCATCTCTCCCTCCGTTCTTTCCCTGGCTTGGTGGCCCAGGCACACCCTGCTCATCCCCACACCCCAACCCCAGGGCCTTTGCACATGCTGCCCCTGCTGACTCCTCAGGCTTCAGTCTCAGCTAGGGTGTCATTTCCTCAGAGAGCCCCTGTCCCTGGGATCTTTCTTGTGCCCCTGCCAAGGTGGGCCTGGCCCTATTAGGTGGGCTCAGCCTTGATCTTTCCCTTCATGGCCCCTAGCACATGGTGATGGCATGGTGGTGTGTGTGGTGAGCGAATTCTCCCTTGTCACCATGAGGCTGGGGTTGGCATCCAAGTTGTTCCTCACTGTCTACCTTCGGTCAGGGACAGTGACATCTCTGTGCAGGTGGGTGCTCATACATGGCCCTCAGCCTCAGTCTAAGAGTGTGGAGGTCCCCTTTTATCTGCTCATGATGCTCCAGAAGGCAGAGGCCCCCCTGCTTCCTGCACTCTGTGATGGGACACCCAGCCACGAAACCCTGTAACCCTGGACAGTGCTGCCTGGCCTACAGCTCCGCCCTGCCCTAGGTCCATATCCCCAGTCCCAGTGAGGGGGGAAGGCAGCTGTGAGGGTTTCATGATTGAGCAGAAACTCCAAAAAAAAAAATCGGGAGATCGAGAAAGGGCTGCCAACTTTGAATTTTGTCAAGTAAGGACATTATTTTGAGAAAACAAATCTGGCATCTGTTCTCCCCATGGTTTCGGAGGAAAGAGGTCGAGGCTGCAGACAGGCGGCTGGTGGAGCGCAGGGCGTCCCGCAGGGGAGCACCTGCCTTCTCGTGTCTGACCTCACGCTGCAGCTTCCTGTGGGTTGACCTGGGTCCCCCTTCCAAGCAGCTCACTAGAGAGCCCTTGTCCCTAGGTCATTTGAGACAGTTGACCTCAGATAGCAGTCGGAGGCCCAGGAGGCTTAGCTGGTACCTCCTGAGTCCTGGGAGAACCTCGGGCCTCTGCCAGGTGGTCGCACTATCATCTCCCAGGACAGGGACAGTCCTTCCCACTCAGGCACAGGGAGCTCATTCAACCTCTGTTGTTGGAGCCCATTTATTTGAGTGAGAATTGAGGCTCAGTGAAGTTAGGTGTTTGCTGGAGGCCACACAGCTGGATGGAGCTGGAACCCCTCTCAGCCCGTGTCCCCATAGGGAGCCCCTTCCAGGTCCATCCCTGTGCTGCCAGTGCAGGTCTCATTGCCTGCAGCTCCTGCCCCCACATCCTGTCTTCGCCTACCCCAGGTGCACAGTGTGCCCACCTTCGAGGCCCCATCCTGCCTGAGAGTGCTCAGGGTGACAGCTTATCCCCCAGGCCTGCTCTCACCCCATGAAGGCTCTGGAGGGGCTGTTGGCCAGCAGCTAGGAGACCGCCTATTTCTCAGGGCGTTAGCCCGGGGCCTTCACCATCTCTGTCCTACCCCCGTCTCCTCCTTGCATGGCTCCCTGGGCCCTTGTCCACCACCTGGGCTCCCACTTCGTGGGCTGCTTTGCGGCATGGAGAGGCAAGGAGCGTGGTCCTTCTCAGATGGCCACATGACAGGGTAGCGAGCTCTGAGAAGTGGAGCCTGGCCGTGGTGGCACCAGCCTGGCCTCTGACACAGCTGGCTGCTGGTGTGTCACGTGCATAAGCCAGGGACCCCGGCAGGCCAGCCTCTGCCTGTGGTTGCTGGTCCTTGATCCGATGGGGTGAGGGTGAGTGCCTGCAGGGGTACTGGGTGTGGGCACGTGGTACCTGGGCTGAGCACAGAACTGGCCGTGAGTGCTCAGAGGTTTGCTAAGGAACCAAGGGAGGGACGTGTAACTGAGGGCCAGCCCCTGACAGCTGGGGGATTTCAGTGTGAAGGCGGCTATAGGGTCATCCCTGGTGCTGGTGCCCTGCCATCCCTCCCCACAGAGGGTCTCCAGGCTGCTCTGGCCCATGTGTCCCGGAAGCCCCTGCTGACATCTCTCCTTGTGGCTCCAGGTGCCCTGCTCTGCATGCTCTAGCACTGCTCAGCCTGGTGGCCTGGGTGCCAGTTTGTCCCTGGCCCCCCGAGAGCCCTCAGCTGCCCTTCATACAGCCCTGAGTGTTTAGACTGCATGCTGCTCACTGGCAGATGGTTTCAGTCAGGGAAGCTCTGTAAATGAGCCTGGCCATCGCGGTTTCTGGAAGGAGGGATTTCTGCATCTTTCTGGTGCAGGGGCGCCGGTCCCATCCTTGCTCAGGACCCAAAGGGTTAGTCTGCCATCTAAGCCCCACTTACCAGGAGCCAGGAGGAGGGTGCCCTGAGGCCCGCCTGGGTTTCCTCATCTGAGAGGTGACTGGGGAATCCCCTCTGGCTAGAACTTTCTGGAAGGGCCTCTGCTGCCACCCTATCTGTGTGCCACCTCTGTTCCCAGCAGTGGGACTAAATGAGTCATGGTTGGATGCTTCCTGTGGCTGCTGCAGCAAATGACCACAAACTGGGTGATTAAAACAACAGATTTTATATTTCTCATGGTCGAGTCTAAAATCCATCCCACAGGAGTGAAGTCAGTGTGTCAGACAGGCTGGTCCCCTCTGGAGGCTGGTGCCCTCTGGAGGCTGGTTCCCTCTGGAGGCTGGTCCCCTCTGGAGGCTGGTTCCCTCTGGAGGCTGGTCCCCTCTGGAGGCTGGTTCCCTCTGGAGGCTGGTCCCCTCTGGAGGTTGGTGCCCTCTGGAGGCTGGTTCCCTCTGGAGGCTGGTCCCCTCTGGAGGCTGGTCCCTTCTGGAGGCTGGTCCGCTCTGGAGGCTGGTCCCCTCTGGGCGGCGGCACCTCCATGCTTTCCCCAGGACTAGAGCCTCACACTCCTGGGCTCGAGCCCCTCCCTCCAGCTTCAAGGCAGCAGTGTCTTCTCTCCTCCGACCGTGCTCCGTCCTCACATCTCTCCGGGTCTGACCTCCTGCCTCTCTCTCTAAGGGCCCCTGTGATGGCATTGGGCCTGCCCACATCATGCGGGGTCATCTCCCATCTCAGAACCCTTCACATCTGTAAAGTCCCTATGGCCATGTAAGGTCACGTAGTCACAGGTTCTGGCCATTAGGACACGGTGTCTCTGGGGGGCATATTCAGTCACACCAGGTAAAGTAAAGCCTGGTCTGAGCTGTGTTCTCTCTGTGCTACTCACTACGGTGCCCTCCCTCACCTAGCCCAATGACCCTGTCACCAACATCTGCCAAGCGGCGGACAAGCAGCTCTTTACCCTGGTGGAGTGGGCCAAGCGGATCCCGCACTTCTCCGAGCTGCCCCTGGACGACCAGGTCATCCTGCTGAGGGCAGGTGAGTGGCTGGGCCTGGCAGGGCTGGGGGAGTTATCCTGTCACTGTGACAGGGCAGCCCCTTCCTCTCCCTGGGCCTCAGTTTCCCCCTCTATAAAGTGGGGCTAATTCTTGCTTTGTAGGATGGTAGTCAGGATGACATGGGAAAATCCACATGATAGTTGGCTGCAAAGCCCGAAACCTTGGAGCACTTGGGAGTGGTGGCTGTGACACCATTACTGCTCTTATTTGAAGATGGCTTCATGTCATCTCATGATAGGTGTCATGGAAACATTTGAGCACGGAAATTGTTTTAAATTTTATTTATATATCTTTTCTGCTCTGGTTCTTCTGCGGATATAATGAGAGTGCCGACTTGACCTGTGGCTGTAGCACTCCTTGTTTCAACTCAATAGTTTACTATTTTGTGGGGTTCCACGTTGATCTCTGAGAGTTTGCTGTTGGGACCAGACTGGCAGCTACTATTCTGTGGTTGTCCCAGAGAGAATCATGGGAGCTTTCGTGCTCTGTGGCACGAGCTATCCCATGGCCGTCCCAGAGAGAACAGTAGGGACTCTCCCAGGTGCTCTGTGGCACAAGCATCTTGCACGTGCAAAAAGAGACTTCCTTGGGCACGCCAGTTTGGGAGTGCCCGGCTTAAACAGCCACAGGAGGTGTTCTGTGCAGGACTTCTCAGCACCTTTACTATACCAGTGTGCCCTGTAGATAGCCGTTTCCCAAACTTAGGTGCTCAGGAACCTCCTCTCTGGGGAAAATTCATGGGGTTAGGGTTCCGTGTAACCCATTTTGGGAACCCTAGCTTGGGTTCCCATGGGGATGGGTCTGCGACAGGTGGTGCGCGCTGCCTTTGAAGGGGCGAGGGGGTTACGGGAAGGGTGGGCCGACCGATGGCTTGTCCCCCATCAGGCTGGAACGAGCTGCTCATCGCCTCCTTCTCGCACCGGTCCATAGCCGTGAAGGACGGGATCCTGCTCGCCACCGGGCTGCACGTCCACCGGAACAGCGCCCACAGCGCGGGGGTGGGCGCCATCTTCGACAGGTGGGGGTGCCGCCCCGCTCGTGTCGGGCGCGCGTTTGTTCTGTGCACGGCGGCTGGCAATGCGGGGTGCAAAGGAGAGCAAGAGGCACAGGTTAAATCCCTCACAGGCCCAGCCCCTGCTAGCGCTCTGGTCCATCTCCTTCCAATTCGTTTGGTGGGATCCCGCGTACAGGAAGGAGAGCTGCGCTTCTTAAAAAGCAGAAGCAGCTTGTTCCGTAGGCGCGGTTCACTGTGTCCGTTAGGTGTCAGGATCTTCGCAGCTGTGACCGGGATGCAGCACAGCCCACGTGTGTGCTGTGCAGTGGCCTGTCCCTGGGTGGTCAGCTGCGTCTCAGTCACTGCCCCTGGTGCCTCCTGGGTGGAGCTCAAACATGTACCTGTCTGTACCTCGGCCACTGCTTAGCACACCAGGGGCAGGTGCAGGGCAGGCCCACGCCCCGGGTCAGGATGGCCTGTCTATTTATTCAGGTCGCTCTCCAGGAACATGGCCCACCAGGTGAGGTGCACGGGAGCTGCTGCCCCCGTCTGGCTGGCCTTGTCTGTGAGCCCAGGGGGACTGTGGCAGGCTGGGGCCTCCTGGGGACCTATCTGCTTCAGCTGCCTGGAGGGGGAAGGGCTGGGAGGGGTGTCCCAGGGTCCCTCGGGCTGGGGGCTGTGGCACAGGAGTGGGGAGGGGCATGCTGAGGAGAGAGGTCCAAGGGGAGCCCCTGAGAATGGAAGCTGTGCAGTTGGAGGTGAGCAGTGGCCCCCACTGTTAGCCATGCAGCAGGGTCGAGGGAATGCCAGGAAGTGTGCTGCCCTCTAGGATGGTTCACAGAATGAAGGAGCTGGCCCTTGAGTCCCCTGGGATGTCCCAAGTGCAAGAAGGCGTTGTGGCCACCTACTGTGGGGAGGCGCTGGTTTAAACGGTGCATGGATATGTCTTGTCTGCAGGGCTTCTCAGGGCTTTTAACAAGCTGGGTCCACAGAGGCTATGGGCGTGAGGCTGGATCAGCTCTCCCCGAAGGGTTCCAGGGCAGGCTTTCTGCTCCGATGAGGCTGGGTGGGTTGCTCTGCCCCGTGGAAATAAATGACTGGTGACAAGAAGTGGAACATGGCCCCTCTGGCAGCTGGGCAGGACCTAGGAGGGCCATGTCCTAGGGCCCAGCTTTCCCAGGACTGCAAGGTGTGGGTATGATGCTGGTGCACCGTGACTGTGCCTTAGGCTACCCTGCTCCATCTGCAGCTCAGTACCAGGTAACAGTGGACTTTGCCCCCCGCATCCGGTTCCCTGGCTCACCTTGGCTTGGCTGTCACAGGTTCCTTAGTCTCCAGGTCCCTAGAATAAAACCCCATATGCAGACCCTCCAGGCAGAGGAGAGAGCCCGCCCCGGGGCAGGAGGGGACGGGCCTGGTGTGGTAGACGTCGGGCCCTGTCTGGGCAGCTCCCCCGTTTGGCCTTGCCCTTCTCAGCTGCCATCCAGGGCCGCGCCAAGCTCCCTGAGAGTATTTCTTGGGGGCCCATCGAGGGGCACAGTCTGATGTGGCCTTGGCATTCGCCTGCTTCCTCCCGCAGGGTCCTGACAGAGCTCGTGTCCAAGATGCGGGACATGCACATGGACAAGACGGAGCTGGGCTGCCTGCGAGCCATTGTCCTGTTCAACCCGGGTACGGCCCTCCACGCACGGTCTGTACCCTGCTCACCGCACATGGTCTGCACCCGCCCCCGGCCACAGCACCTCCTGTTTATGATGGGGACGCGCCATGCTGCCTCCTCCTCTGGTCCTTGTGAGGGTTCCACGAGATGGTCTCTGTGAGCCCCACTCGCCCTCTGGTTTGGTGAGGCCTCTTGCTGGGCCTTCTGGGTTCTGCCAACCAAAGCGGGGCGCCCCTTTGACCAGAATCCTGGGGCCCAGAAGGGATAGGTTCTGCTTCCAGTGCTGAGGGTCAGGAGCTGGGACAGTCCAGAAGATGTCACTGATGGGCAGACCTGCCCTAGGTCCCGTGAGACCAGCCTGTCCCCCACCTTAGGTGCTGTGTGGAGGGGGCCTTCCTTGTCGGAGCTGCCCGAGTGTGCAGGTCCTGGGCAGCTTCCCAGGTGAGGGGCTCTGACCTGTGGCCCCTTCTTCCTTGCAGATTCCAAGGGGCTCTCGAACCCAGCTGAGGTGGAGGCATTGCGGGAGAAGGTCTACGCATCCCTGGAGGCATACTGCAAACACAAGTACCCAGAGCAGCCTGGGAGGTGAGCCCAGCCTCGGCCCTGCCCTGTATAGACATCGTGGTCTCATGTCCAGACCCCTGTCCTGGGCAAGACCGCCACCAGGCACTGCTGTGTGAGGAGAAGGTGGTGCCCCTCCCGGGTCGATGGCAGCCCAGGGAACACCTGGTGTGTCCAGAGCAAGGACGGGCGCTCTCCAGGCCCTCGTGTAAACACATTCACACACTTTTCTGTAGCGCCACCAAAGATGGGCCCCGAGCCGGCACACAGTAGGTGCTTGTCTTTGTGGAGGGGGTAAAGAAGGCCGTGCTCCCCCTTCCACCACTAAGGGAACCACTAGACGCATGGCCTTGGCGCTCACCCCTGGCAGGGGCAGATACCAGCCCATAATAGGTGCTTTGTAAACACATGCAGAGTAGATAGATGGTATGGCCTCTCACCACCTGACTGGGCCTGGATGGTTGGGGATCGTCTCATTTCCAGGTCCGCGGTGCTGGGGGCACAGTATGTGTCAGAAGAAGGGAGCCAGCTCAACTTTATTCTGATTGTACCCCCCTATCTCCAAAAGAGCACCTCCCGGTGGGGGTCCAGGACAGCAGGCCTCCCTCCTCCGGCCCACTGGCTGGCGCCCACACAGTTAACTGTGTCCTAGCTGCTGGGCCTCATCTGGTTTGGTTTAAACTGAAACTTCCCGGATGGAGGTCGGAGGACGGGATGGAGTGGCAGGCCCGCTTGTTTTTCCTGGCTCCCCGCCGCAGCCATCTCGCCAGCTCAGCAGAAAACAGCTCGCTCACTGGCCCCGCTCCAGGCTCCAGGCTGAGTTTTTTGCCTAGAAAATGTGGGTTGTGTGGCAGCCAACCACAGGGCTTTTGCCCCCCAAATATAGACATTGTTAATAAGTCATGAGGTCCTGCAGCCCTGCAGCCCTGCAGCCCCTTGAGGGTCTGAGTAGAGAGGCCCGGGCAGCATGTGGAGGGGGCCTGGGGCAGATGTGGACGTCCCCAGAGGGACATTTGTCCCAGTTGGCTGAGCCTGATGTTTCTCCTCCAAGAACCCCCAAACTTCTCTCCTCCCCTCCCCCACTCAGGGTCCTCTGAAGAAACTCTCTTGGGGTGGGCAGGGCCTTTGGGTGTCCTGTGCTCAGGCCCAGCTCTAGCAGAGCTGTTTCTGGGGAAGGGGTGGGCCTGGCTTGAGGGCACATGGTGGGGCTTGCTCCAGCACAGACCTCTCCCCAGCTCAGGACTAGCTCTTGTGCCTTTGGTCTCCCCACTGTAGCCAGTGGCATTGCTGATTCTTATAGCTCTCCCCTGTGTAAAATCATGCTGTGGCTCCCTATTGCTGTTGGAACAAACCTACATATTTTAAATTCCGCACAAAGCCTGGTCAGTCTGCCCCAGCCTGGCCACTGTTCCACCACTGTCCCTTCAACCCAGGGTCTTTTGCCCACCCTGGGCTTCTGCTTCCAGGCCCTTCCCAGTTCTGTTTCCACTGCCTGAGTGCCTTGTCTTTTTCCTCTAAGGCTCAGCAAAAGCAGGTCTCATGCAGGTTTGAGGGGGATCAGGCGTGAGACTTGGTCCTGTCCTCAGGAGGTAGCCAGGCTCCAGGGTGGAGGGCAGGATGACCACCAGCCCCAGTCATGCCTGCTGTCCCACAGGTTTGCCAAGCTGCTGCTCCGCCTCCCAGCTCTGCGGTCCATCGGCCTCAAGTGCCTGGAACATCTCTTCTTCTTCAAGCTCATCGGGGACACGCCCATCGACACCTTCCTCATGGAGATGCTGGAAGCCCCCCATCAAATGACTTAGGCCCTCAGTCTGGCCACCCCATCTGGCCTCCAGCTGCTCTCCTCGGCTGGGCCCCATCCCTGCCCCTTCTCTGCCTGGCCTGTTTGGACTTTGGGGCGTAGGCTGTCACTGCTAAGCCTAAGAGATGTGTTGCCACCCTCGTTATTTTCAATGCTACTTGTCTTTGGACCCAGCAGGGCAATGCTTTCCCGGGCAACAGCTGGAGAGGCAAGAACTGGTGTGACCATCAGCTCCCAGGGGAGCTCAGGGCGGCTCACGGGGTCTCAGGGCCCTGTCCCTGGAGCTGCAGCAGGCAGGAAAGGTTGGCTCTGTCTCGGGTTTTTGAATCTCCCAAGCCACTCTCCTGTTTGGAGTGTTGGCACCCAGCCAGCTTCACCCCATCCATGATCAGGGGGAGGGGACAGGTGGGGGACCGGTGTTTCCCACCCACTCCCCGGGAAGATGAGGGGCTCTGGGGCAAGCAGGCTTCTCTTCCCTCATAGCGAAGGATGAGCAGCCCCTTTTCCAAAGATGACTTGCCGTGGGCCCTGAGCCAGTCACGACAGGAGCTGACCTCTGTGCCGGATTTTGGGGCCACCTCAAGGCTGCAGGGACTACGGTCGCCCGTGTGCCTGTCTTCTCGTTGCATCATTTCAGCTTCTTCCCCCAGCTCCTACTCTCATGGTCCCGCCTAACCCAAGGTGACAGGATGGCAGTGCCCTGGCCTCTGCTCAACCCCAGATCTTCTCTCAGTCCGTGAGGAGGGCTGAGGCTAGCCCCTTGCCCATGTGGTTCTGCTGCAGAGTTTTCCGCTCCCCTGGGAGCCCCATAGGGATGTCAGGAGAGGAAGGCTGCTTTTCCAGAGGGTCTTCGATCCGCTGTGCACATTTGGAGAAAGCCAGAGGGACTTGTGGGCTCATGAGCCCAACAGGGAGGGGCAGGTGGGGCCGAAGCTGGAGCTCTCGGGCAAGGCCCAGGCAGGCTATTCTGTCCACAAGACTTGGAATCAGAAACCTGGGGGCACCAGGCTCCTCTGATCTGGGCTGGACGCCCCTGGGAACACCCAGTGGGTGTTGTCTGGGTGGCAGAGCATTATGTGGGAGCTCAATCTAACACCTGCCCTGGTTGAAGGCCCCCTTCAGCCCAGCACCCACTTCTGCAGCATTTTGACCCAGCCTAGGCAGGTGGGCAGTCGGGGCTCTCAGGTTGAACCGGCCTCTTTTGCACTGTAATCCCTCCCGTTGGTCTGAGTGCTTTCCATTTTCACGCCGCACACCCCGTGGGCCCAGCATCTGTCAGCAGTGGAGGCCTGAGTAGGGAGGAGAGGGTGTCGGGGGATGCAGGGGGCTCCTGTCTGCACAGCCCCTGAGAGCGTGCTCTGTAATGGTGGCTTCCCTCCTGCCTCCTGCCACCCCCACTAGCAGCGCTGGACAGGGTGTGTGTGTGTGTGGGGGGGGCCCTGCTGTCCCCAAAGTTTCCCCAGATGGTACAGGAGTGTGTGCCCCAGGCTGGGGCAGGGGCTGAGTGGGATGAGGCAGGCCTTCGGGCCTCCATGGGAAGACAGTCCGTTCTTTGCTTTCCAGAGTCACCAGCCCAAGCTGAGCTTGAGGCACCTGGGCAGAGGCTGTAAAAGCCTTGGCCACCTCTGCCACTTGGGCACTCCCCTTGTCCACTGTCTGAGGCATGCCAGGGCCTGCCCAGCTGCCCTCCTCCCACACTCTCCCCAAATGTCTTGGCAGCCTTTGGGGCATGGTTGTGACAGGCAGTGACATAGGCTTTCTCGAGGTATTCCCTTTCGGGGTCCCCTCAGTCATGGGAATGTTAAACTGCCCCCCACACAACGCCCCTGGTGCCTTCTGCAGCCAGACGCATCCTATCATGCCCAGCCTTCTGCTCCCCTCAGCCTCTGGGGAACGTGGGTAGCTCCAAAGGAGAAAACTCAGACGGGGGTCCTCTGTTGGGTCAACTTCTTGGGAACTTCACCATTACCGGCCCTGGCTGACACTGTAAAACACTGAGGCCCCCCCGCCCCCGGCCACCACCTCCCAAGGCCAGAAACTCCCTTGGTCCCTCCGCTCGGCCTCCCCGCAGCCCCACCTGCACTGCAGCCCCACCCGCACCGGCATCGTGGGCCCGTGGGAGCTGCCCTTTCCTGTCCTCGCCAGTCGGTCTTCGTGATCATACATGCAGTGCTGTTTGGAAAGTGAAATGTGGGGAGACAGCACATTACTCTGTAGAGAGGTAGAGTTTTTATTTAACCAGGTCTTCAGTAGTATTACCAATCTGGTTCAATTAAGGTGATTTTTTGGTAATGATGATTATCATATTGGTGGGACAATCTTTAATTTTCTAAAGATAGCACTAACATCAGCTCGGTAGCTACCCCGTGCCGTCCCCACCTTGGCCCGGCTGGACACTTCCCGGGTCCCTGGCCTGCTGGTGCCTCTGCCAGTTCCTCAGCAGCGTCGCCTCCACACTCTGACACCCAGATCGGGCTCCCACGGCTGAGGATCGGAGATGACCGCGTCCCGTGTTTGGAAGGTGCTGGCAAAGCCAGCTTGCCCCACCCCCCACCCCCTTGGAAGTTGGCCTGCCCAGACGATCACGGAGATGGCCCCGTGTCAGCCACTGGTCACCTGGAAGCATGAGGTCTCCGGGACGATGGCTCCACCCCCTGGGGTTCCCAGGTCTCGGAGTCCCCGAGGACTCGGGCTGGCAGCGAGTGCGGAGGCCGGGCGGGCTCCGGTGCGCGCCCGGGAG